AAATTAAATTAAATAATGTAAATTAAATGTGGGAAATTAATTCAAAATAGAAAAAAAAAATTATAAAAAAACAAAAAAATTAAAAAATAAGTTTAATTAAAGAAAATAAAATAAAATTAATTAAAGTAAGTTAAATAAAATAATACAAAATCGAATTCAAAGTGGAACTAATATATAACTAAATAAAATTAAAAAATCAAATTACATTAAAATAATTTAAGACAATTAATTAAAAAAAAAAAAAAAAAAATTAAGATAAAAAAGAATATTACAAAATTAAATCAAATTAAATTAAGTTAAATTAAATAATATGAAATAAAATAAATAAAAAAATTAAAAAAAAAAAAAATAAACCATAAATGCTGAAATATTAATTGAATTAAAACAAAAACAGAAAAATGAAGTTGAGTAAAAAAAAATAATTAAATTAAAAAAATAAAATGAATTATTTAAGCTTATTGTTGTTAGTATTTAAGAAAAAAAACTGAACCAAAACCATGTTACACAGATTAGTTTAATTTAAAAAAAAAAAAAATATTCAATAAAAATATTCAATAAAAGCTACGCGGTAAAAAAACCTAAATTACTTCTGTGAAGAGCTTTAAAATCCAGATTGGAAAAAAAGTCTAGCAGAGCTCTCTCTCGCATATTTTGGACTCTAAACAAAAAAATGGCCGGTGCTGACTCGTAGGGAGGCAGAGTAGTTGTTAAAAAAAAACCTAAAGGACAAAGTTCGGCCACACTCTATGCGTAGTTACAAAAAAAATACTGAACTCGAAAGTTAACATAGAAGATATGTAGACCTAAAAAAAATAACGATATTGATATACCAGCACATAATATATATACGTGAAAAAAAGTGACTTGGAATTCGATGAAATTCTACAGAGGATGATCGAAAAAAAAAGATTATTTTCGCTACTTGGCAACAGGGATATAGAGGAAAAAAAAAAGGCTGACAAAAGACAATGGCTTTCTTGAAAAATATACTTAAAAAAAAGAGCAGTCCGCACCTACAGCAAATCTTCGTAAACTTGCCCAAAAAAAGAACGGAAGAGTTGGCGCATAATTTACTATTTTAAAAGAGAAAAAAACTCAGTGACAGTAAAAGTACTGGCATGCCACTGTCTGGTAAAAAAAAATGCAGAAAAGCTGGGAGTTTCTTTAAGAAGATGCTGCAGAAAAAAAGATGAGACGGAAGAAATGATGTTTCATATTTTATGCGGCTAAAAAAAGCCGATCAGCACTAGACTATATGTAGGAGCTATTGGTCTTAAAAAAATATCTAAGATATCAGACATCAAAGTGAATGAGCTAATAAAATTCATAAATCTATCGAATGTACAGTGAAGCACAATGACTGACATCTAAAAAAACACCTACAGTTTCTTGGCTGTACCAAGTTTCTATTCTTGCAAAAAAACCACACAGCCTGGAAACGTGAGCAACCCTGGTGCGAGAGCCACGAGGCAGGGCTAAAAGAGAGGAAGTTTTTGTGGATCATCTACGAAAAAAAAGGTGCGTATTCACATTCACTGACTCAGTTGACAGCACTTGAAAAAAATGACATATTGACTTTAATCAATAATTTATTCCACTTTTTAAATGGAATTAATGTTTCACTCTTCCGTTGAAGAAGAAGATTTCTGAAAAAACTCTCTCCCACTCTCTTCTCCTATTTAGCTGCCTCATCTAATTAAAAAAAATCGTTTGAGGTTTCATACATACATATGTACATATGTAGAAAAAAAAAGAGCGGTTGATTTCCATAATGAAAGTTTTCGTGAAAAAAAAAAAAATAATTCAAAATGCAATTAGCGCTATTGTTTATAAACAATAAATTTGCTAACTAAACTACTAATTAAATCACCACTCACACAAAAACAAAAAAAATAATGCGGAAGGCTTTAAATTTATTTGCAGAGAACACTAAACATGAAGAGCTACAAGTTTCGCTCTCGCAGTTTTGAAAATCTCATTGAGTGGACGCTTGACAAATTTCTTAGAATTCTTCCGACTGCATATAAAAAAAAATTTTTTTTTTAATAAAGAAAACAAAAACTCGACTGAGGAAAAAAAAAGTCAATCACTGATAAGCAAAATAGAGAACAAGTAGAGAAAAAAAAAAGAAGTTCGCGAATAAACCGGCGCGTCAGTAAAGGCATAACAATCCTACTTTCAAAGAAGATCTCTGTAATCTTAATCAGTCCAAAATCAAGTTCTCCTCAAATAATCTTTGGTAGAAACTTAAGAACACAATTTAAAAAAATGCTAAACTGATTATTTTGTTTCGGGACAGTGCCATGTCAAAAAAAATGAATAGTTTTCTTTGCTGACTCTCTCTCCAAATCGAAGTAAAAAAAAAGAGCAGAAGGTTAATTCGGTTTATCGATTTCAAATGAGAATCTTAGTGCTTCCTCAGTAATTATTCACGAAAGACTTTAGCCGTAAAAAAAACATCAAGTTACCGCTCTATTCTTCTTCTTTTTAATTGTCTAAAAAAATGCTTGCGCGGTTATAATGGAGTTAAAAATATAGCGCCAGGCGTTTCCAAATTTTTAAAGTTCGACGCCAATTGACGGCACCAAGTGAAAAAAATTCTTTCTAACTGATTTTTCCAACTTAGTAGAGGTTTTAGAAAAAAATCTGGTGGATACAACATCGAATACCCTCATCCATCATGTAAAAAAAATGTCCTAGCCAGCGTAGCCGCGGTCTCTTATTTCACGGAAAAAAAAAGACGTCGCCAAATGTCTGCTACAACTCATCGGACATCGCCAAAAAAAACGCTTCTGTACCATATAGCCGGACGGGAATGATGAGCGAAAAAAAATTTGAACTTTGTTCGTCGAGAGTTGACTTTAATTTTCAATTGTCTACTCAGTCCGAAGTAGCATCTTTTGGCAAGAGTGATTCTGCGAAAAAAATCATGGCTGACATAGTTGTTAGTGTTATTGTTGGTAGATTAAAAAAAACAGCGACGTGGGAGGTAAATTGCCAGTGCGCTTGATGACAAAAAAAGTGTTGTCTTGTACTCATTTACTTGGCGGGCGCGATTGCGAAAAAAAATTCGAAAGACGTTGTGCGACTCCTGACCTGACCAAACTTAAAAAAATTTAGAAATTTAATTTTTTAATGACAGTCGCTCCTCGGCGAAAAAAATCACGTTCTTCTAGTGTATTGCCGATATGGAAATTAAAGCAAAAAAAAAGAACCATCAGTCATTCGTAGGCGGCTTAGTATAAAATGAAAAAAACTCCACTTCGTGAGAAAGCAACAAGACGCACACCACAAATAAAAAAAGAAGCACGGTTGAAAATCTCTTCGGCGATTTAAAAAGCGCAAAAAAACGTTACCTCATGCATTACCAGACAGATTATGCTGGTTTACAAAAAAAAGAAAGCAGAACAAACGGTGCTATTCTCGAGGCGGATGTTCATAAACGCACTTGTAGAAGATTGTAACTCCTCCATTCAGCTCGGCCAAAAAAATTACGTTATCCATCCGTATAAGTTTTGCGGGGATAACAAAAAAAAAAATAAAGCCACAGATGCAGCACTTTTTCCTGCTACCGAAAGAAAAAAAAAAGTCGTTGGCTTAAGTGTTGGTGTTTTTGGGTTCTTCTAAAAAAAGTATTTTCCACGGTTTAGTGTTCGATGAGTATCTAGACGAAAAAAAATTCGATGTTAGATCTAAGGCAACATTTAGAAATTACAATTAAAAAAAGTTCTTAATCAATTCGTTACGCCCAACGGGTATATGTTTCAAAAAAAAAAGTGGTGAGTACGAGCGAGAGACTGTTAAGAGCATGAAAAAAAAAAAATTTTCTTACATTTCTTATCAATTAAACACCAACACTCAAAAAAAGTGCGTCGACAGACAGGCAAATCAGCTGGAGAGTATCTCGAAAAAAATTACGTTGAAGCTACGATTCGATGACTCTTTTTGACGAATAAAAAAACAGTTTGTAAATGATATTCGCTGTCAATGGTTGCTAGTAGAAAAAAACTAGGAAAAGGTTCTGATTTATAAATGTATATACATATATAAAAAAATACATATGTATTGTACATATATAATTTTAACAGTTAATCAAAAAAAACAAAGTTAGTCGATGCGAGGGATTCATTAAATAAATATACAAAAAAACATGTATGCATGTGTGTATGTATGTGTGTATATGTAGTGCAAAAAAATTTCGATTGTGTCGATTTGTGTTTAAACTTTTAGTGATCTAAAAAAAACTCATGTGTATATATGTATTTATATTTGTGCTTAAAACAAAAAAAAATGTATATATGTATGTACAGTAGTGTATTTACATACGTGTTTCCTAGCTACATTGTGTTCAGATTAATTAAAACGGAATTAATTTTTAAAAAAATTTTTATTTTAATTTTATGCAAACTTCTGCACATACATACAAAAAAACATATACATATGTACATATATATATATATATATGTATATGAAAAAAAATATGTATATGTATGTATATATGTATAGGGTTTTTTTTTAAAAAAAATAAAAAAACACCAAAACAAACAAAAATCACCTAAAACGTTAAAAAAAAGCTGCGAAATCGCCAGCTAAAGCTTATCGTGCGAATCCAAAAAAAACAACAACAACAACAACCAAAAAAACGCGTAGTGAACTAAGAAAAAAAGCCACAGTCCGGTTTTCGTATTAATTTCGCGTGGATTTGAAAAAAAATTTGAAAATATATACATATATACATACAAACTACTCTCAAAAAAAAAAGTAATAATTTAATCACATATAAAAAAGTATTTTTATTAAAAAGTGACTAAATTAATGCAAATTTTTACAAAAGTGCAATAAAAAAAAAAAAAAAACAAAAAAAATATATATATATTTATTTTTAATTTTTTTTAAAAAAATAAATATCATAGAAATCAACGTTTGATAGACGTTAATACAAAAAAAACCTGCAACCCCTGCAAAATACTCCTGTGACAGCATCAAATAAAAAAAAAAACTAACAGCATTATGTTGTTGCTACGTAAAAGTGAGTGAAAAAGAGTTAAAAGTAAAATTAAAAAATAATTAAATAAAAAAAATAAAAAAAAATGTGAAATTATAAATATGTATGTACAGCGGTCAAAAAAAAAAAAAGTCATCAACTAAATTCTTAGAAAATGTTAAGCCCAGACTTAAAAAAAGGGAGGAGGAACATCCCTGGGGTCATTTGGAGTCCAAATTAAAAAAACGCAGCTTTTCAAACAAGCAGCAAATGCAATGTAGTGGAGAAAAAAACATGACGTACTGACATTCGGATGGCTCGGGTTCAAATCCTGGTGCCACCAACATCCAAAAGTTATGGAAAATTAATTTAAATAAAAAAAAAAAATAAATTTGCGATCGTACTTCGGAAATGTCCACGCCTCCGAAAAAAAAAAGGTTATGAAATAAAGCATCTCGTAAAAAAACCATCAGCAAAAAAAAGGTCCCTCCATTTTTGGAAAAACATAAACCACAAATTGGAAAAAAAGCTCGTCTGAAAATTGCTTCAACGGTTACAAAGTTAAAAAAAAAAAACTGTCTGAAAGTTTGTTAGGAATCGACCTGCCCGTAAAAGAAAAAAATGATCCTCACTGTGTTTTTAGTGTTGCTTAACGTTAGCCTAAAAAAACGTATAAGTTTTACGGGGATGCGAAATACTAGACATATCGAAAAAAAGGCCGCTTCTCTTCTCGTGCTGTCGAGGCTGCTTTAAAATAAAAAAAGAGGTGACGTGTGTCGAACATCCAAGATTTGGCGCATGGTAAAAAAAGGGTCAATGGTTGACTTACCAGGTCTGAACCCACACTAATAAAAAAAAACCACTTTGTTGACAGTGGGCTTTGGTCTTTCATACAAAAAAAAAAATGTGACCTTATTGGCGATAATAAGAAGGCTTATACCACGAAAAAAACCACAGACTGTGGAATAGCGCCCTTTACGTGGATTGAACAAAAAAAACTTAAATTTCAATCATCGGACATGCTTTTGTCCGACCGTATTTTCCAAAGTGATGCATGCATCTTGTCAGCACTTCACCGCCATCTTAAAAAAACCCTGTAGGCAGGCCGTCAACTCCAGCCGCCTTATTGTTCTTTAAGCGGGCAATCGGTATTCGAACCTCGTCATAGTCTTGTAGTTGAAAAAAATTTCCATCGCCATCAAAATTGGAGTTTCGTGCTTACCATCAAAAAAAGTTCCAGTTTCACTGTAATTCAGCAGTAGAAGTGTTCCCTAAAAAAATTCAATATACTCTGGGCATTCTTCAGTATATTACCCCACTAAAAAAAACAAAAGTCGGCTCCGGTTTGGAAATCTGCCGTATGCCATAAAAAAATTTCATTACCCTTGTCTCCAGCTCTTCGTGCTCACGCATCAAAAAAACTTTACCTTCTTTTGTCTGCAAAGGCCCCTTGCTTCCTCTAAAAAAATCGGAGCAACACTCGCTTAAATGTCGCACGACTGCAGTGTAAAAAAACCAGGTTGAAACAAACTGTAAATCAAATACTTGGAAAGACAAAAAAATACCTTCAGTGACAGTCAGGTAGCATTAAAAGCCATCACCAAAAAAATCATAAACTCTAATTTCGCGCTGTACTATTGCAGATCTCTAAAAAAAATCACAGTCCTTTCGGTAGAAAGGCGTGGGAACTGCCTTTAAAAAAATTCTTACGACAGGTAAACTTGGCCGAAATGGAACTGGAATAAAAAAACGGACCTGGACCTTCATGGGTTAAGCGATGGTCTTGCAACAAAAAAATTTAACAAACAGCTCCAACATGGTTTACAGCCTAGAGGTAAAAAAAAATCACATCGTTGAGGATAACCTAAAATTGTAGGCCTACGCAAAAAAAAAGAAATGAAATCCATCAACGGGCTTCACCTAGACTTTACAAAAAAACCGTGGTTCAATACTCATTTTTCTACTTTCACGCAAAAATAAAAAAATATGTGCTTATGTATATGTATATAGCATACATATGTAGGTAAAAAAATGTTTTATCATCATCTGCGTCATTCTGACTTCGCAACCTGAAAAAAAGGAAAACCCAAATCCAAAAGATTATAATATTTGCATATTTAAAAAAAGCCAATCCAGACTTAAATGGAATATTTTCAATGATTTGGGAAAAAAACAGCTTCATTTGCATACTAACATACAGAATAATGCCAGTGAAAAAAATTAAAATACATTAGGGCTTGGCAGTTTCGATATAGAAACTAAAAAAAACCAGTGAATTGACACTCAACTCAGCCGGCGAACATTCAAATACGACCATCATAAGCTCTTTTAGCCGCGAAATAGTCCCCCAAAGTAAAAAAAGGGAAATATTGCGGGAGTCACAGTCCTTGGCCTTAATAAAAAAAAAATTCGTGCCGGTATTATTGGATTTTAGTTGCCTCTTACGATAAAAAAACCTTACTGCGAGTAAATTATTAAATCGTTTAATGTTTTCGAAAAAAATGGGAGACTAGTCTAATTCGACCGGTTCGGCTCGTAACGAAAAAAAAGTTAGAGGAGTAGGTTTAATATGGCATACAAAGGGGTGGTAAAAAAAGTGTGGGATCTCATTGCATTTCTGGTCGCAAATTTTGCTTAAAAAAATCTAAATACTGAAAACTAAATCTCAATACTTTCGACAGCTAAAAAAATGATAATTCCATGACGTTGGGTATGTCGGAATCAAAACTGAAAAAAAAGGAGAATTAAGTCAACTTTAATATCCAGTTCTTTGTTGTAAAAAAATTATTTTGGTCTCTCAATACAGTTCGAACTCTTCGTTTGCAAAAAAAGGTGCTTGGATTTCGACAACGTCGTTCACGACGGAAGGAGAAAAAAAGGAGTTCATGAAGATGTTGGATATTTAGCCTCTAGTAAATAAAAAAAGGGATGCCCCATGCATAATCTAGAATATATATTTCACGGTAAAAAAAATGCTCCGCGTGCATTTGAGGAGGTTTTCTGGCGCGGTCCAAAAAAAGGTGTTCTTGCATGCTCGAAACCTCCTTATCTACGTCTCTAAAAAAAACGAAGTTCAAATCGGAGCAATGGCTGGCCTAACATTTGCAAAAAAAATTGCGCGCCACATTTTTTGGTATTTTTCACAGGTGATGCAAAAAAACGAGATGAGGATTTCGGCGCTGTACTGAACTAGGCCAGTAAAAAAAAGTTGTTTGGTTGTCGGAATTTTTACGTCCACGACTTTCATAAAAAAATCGAGCCGGTACTTTTTTATTCAACCGGTGAAAAGGGTAGAAAAAAATTTCTTAGGTTTGTCGTGCAGTGAAGTAGTGAGAATGGTCAAAAAAATAGTACTAAGAATAACGTACTAATGACACCGCCAGTCTATAAAAAAAACCAACAGCACTCGTTTCGTATGCTAGGGCTTTTCCATGGAAAAAAATGGGATTTCGGGGCTTCTTCGCAAAGGATGATTTTCCGGCAAAAAAACGTATATTCTGCCAAGTAATCTTCGGACCTTTGAGCGAAAAAAAAAAGCATTGGATGGTCATGAGGCTTCAGTACTTGCACAAGTTGAAAAAAAGCACACTTTGTGTAAACATCTTTTTTGTTTTCCTAACAAAAAAAAAAATCTACATCTCATTCTAAACCGCCTCCGAGCGACCAAGGAAAAAAAAAGGGGGACCTTTTTATTTAATGTCCGAAATACAGTCGGAGAAAAAAACATTCCCTGGCGAGGGGTGACCGGACCAAGACTAGAACCCAAAAAAACCAAATGGTAGTACGCATTGCTAACCATTCGAATGTTTGAAAAAAAATACTCAATTTGTTTCCATTGCCGACTCCTCGGATGTTGTGAAAAAAATTACTTCGTCACGATATAGAGGAATGTGCGAGATGTGAGAAAAAAAAATGTTTTTTTTTTTTATTTAAATAGGTGTTATGTAGGCTCAAAAAAATCAATAAACTTCGTCATATTTATCTTCTTCTTTTTTTCACAAAAAAATTCCTACTCCCCTCATGCCTCCTTTGCATCTTAATTCACTAAAAAAACGGTGAAAATTGTAACAAATTGGAAGATGCAAGTGCGCTGAAAAAAACTAATCAAGCAGAGTTTCGGCGAATCGCCGATGGAGCAGAAAAAAAAAGTTTGGAATTTTTCTCCGCGATGTCCGACGCAGCGCAGGAAAAAAATTTTGTGACCTCACCGTTTTCGGTGTGGGCACTATTGCTCAAAAAAATGGAAGGCTCAGCGGGCAGTACACTGAAAGAGTTAACTACAAAAAAACATATAAGTGAAGATCGTCCGGTGCTGCGCCAGATCTTCAAAAAAAAACAACAGTTTTTAAAGTGCGTAGGAGTTACAAAAAAAAAAAAAAAAATATTTTAATTAATATATTAATTAATTAGATGAGCGTTTAAAAAAAAAAAAAAAAAAAATATTTTTGCAGACGTAAGGCGTCAACAGTGCGCGTGGAGAGCTCCCAGGGCTTGTACTATGATAAATACGATTTCAAAAAAAACGATTATATCAACACACTAACCACTTGCTACACCGCTAGAAAAAAAAGTTTGCCATTCAACGACAGCCAAACAACATTGAACGCCATAAAAAAAGCGATAAGTACGGAAACCAATGGTCTCATTAACAACGCCAAAAAAAAGGAGGACATCGCCGATGCTCGATTATTACTCACATCCACGAAAAAAATCAAAGGCCAATGGCAGGTATGTTCCAATGGGAATGGTCGAAAAAAAGGAAAAATCATCTACTTAACGAGTATATAATATTTTTATTAAAAAAACTTTCAATAGAAGTGAGACGCGTCGCGAGGTCTTCTATGAAAAAAAAGGCAAACCGGTTGGTGAGGTTGAAATGATGTTCCAAATGAAAAAAAACAACTACACCAGAGTGCCGGACTTGGAGGCGCATGTACTCAAAAAAACCTATGGCAATGAGAATCGTCTATGTATGTTGGCGGTGCTAAAAAAAAAAGGTAACGTATATATTGTACATACATACATATATTGTTAAAAAAAAACAAAAGATCAATTGTAAATAATTTAAATATTTTTAAAGAAAAAAAAGTGAATCAAGTGGTACATAATTTGCAGAAAATCGGTGTGCGCCCAATATTCAAAAAACTAGAGGAAGATGCTTTGGGCTTCGATGAAAAAAAAGTGGAGGTGTATTTGCCACGTTTCAACTTAGACTCTACCTATCCACTGAGGGGCGCACTGGAACAGGTATTTAAACTAATTGCACTCAAAAAAATACATAGTATATAATACTAGAATTATATTTTAAATTTTAGAAAAAAAAATTGTAGTATAGTATTTAAACTACAATTATATTACGAAGAAAAAAATTTATATCGCAAATTATACCATTTTCACCCATAACGGCGAAAAAAAATATAACATTTGTATCACAAACATGACACGCATTGTAGTATAAAAAAAATACCACTATCATACTGCGGATTATAGTGTAGTATTTATAAAAAAAACATTCTGTGAATCGTGGTATGGTATCTATACCACAATCAAAAAAAAAATCGTAGTATGGTATCCATACCAAAATCACACCCCGAATAAAAAAAAAGTCTCAATACCACAATCATTATGGTATCTATACCAAAATAAAAAAACAAATTCTAGTATAGTATCAATACCACAATCATTATGGTAAAAAAAATAAAATCATACTGCAAATTTTAGTGTAATATTTATACCACAAAAAAAATCCGGATTGTAGTATGATATCTATACCACAATCATACTGAAAAAAAAGTAGTATTTATAACACAATCACTCCGTGATATAGTATCTAAAAAAAAATCAAACTGTAAATCGTAGTATGGTATCCATACCAAAATAAAAAAACGAATACTAGTATAGTATCAATACCACAATCATTATGGTAAAAAAAACAAAATCATACTGCAAATTTTAGTGTAATATTTATACCATAAAAAAAACGAGCATTGTAGTATGGTATTTATACCACTATCATACTGAAAAAAATAGTGTAGTATTTATATCACAATCATTCTGTGATATAGTAAAAAAAACACAATCAAACTGTGAATCGTAGTATGGTATCTATACCAAAAAAAAACTGCGAATACTAGTATAGTATCAATACCACAATCATAATGAAAAAAATACCAAAATCATACTGCGAATTTTAGTATAATATTTGTACAAAAAAAATGACGCGGATTGTAGTATGGTATCTGTGTAGTGTAGTATAAAAAAAACAATCATTCTGTGATATAATATCTATACCACAATCAAACAAAAAAACGTAGTATGGTATCCATACCACAATTATAGTACGAATTGTAAAAAAATATCAATACCATAATCATGACGCGCATTGTTGTGTGACATAAAAAAAACAATCGTATCGTAGTACTGAAATCAGCTTTACAATATTGAAAAAAATTCATTACATTTGTCATTGGAAAGAGTATAGTAAATTTTTAAAAAAACATTTCCTTTTTTTTTTATTTTCTTTATAGTTGGGCATAAAAAAAAATTTCAATCCACAAACTGTTAATTTTGAAGCTTTATCAAAAAGTTTATTCGTGAAGGACGTTATACAAACTACGAAAATAATTGTGAAAAAAAAAGGCACCGAGGCAGCCGCTGCGGTTCTAGCAACCTTAATCAAAAAAAAATCACCACCTAAATTCTATTTTAATCGTCCATTCTTATATCTGATTGCTGAAAAACGTTCAAATACAATACTATTTGCCGGACAATTAAAAAAACCACGTTTGAATTAGAATTATTGCAATAAAGTACATACTTTAAACTATATATAATATAAGCATGATTTTTGAATTATCAAAAGTTTGGAGAGCTTCTCGAGCAATCTCTGGGGGCCTCTTCATCGCTGGGTAGGTGTAATCGGTTTGGGGAGACTTTGTCGTATTGGCTGTATTTACTGAAAAAAAAATGCATGGACTTACTTATTACTTAAAACTGCATTTGGAACAAAAAAAATAGACGAAGCTTCCAAAGTTTACTTTTGCGTCTTGTAAAAAAAAAAAATTCTACGGCGATACTAATTTTTTATCAATTTTCGCACTCAAAAAAAAAAGTGAATGTAAAAAATTACAATTCTTTTATTTTTATAAAATACTAATTAAAATATAATATATTCAAAATCTTAAATGTTATTTTTAAAAAAACCCTGCTGCTTTCTTGCCGCCCACAGGCTGCTTATCCTTAAAAAAAATACTTGAAATCAGTGGATGAGTTTCTACAAAAATAAGAGGAAAATAGAAAAATTAATAACACTTTCATGCAACATAATACTTTCGCTAAAAAAACCATCAACTGGCGCATCTGGCAAACTTATATCATAATTGTAAAAAAATCGTTTTCTCGACGGCACTGTTTCACACTCGTACTCCTGTAAAAAAACGTTTTCTTTAGTGAGCGATGTATCCACGCCTTCTTGCATAAAAAAACCATCTTCCGGATCCTCTACTTCAGGTGCCATTGGTAGAAAAAAAAATGCATTTTCATCTTCACCCTCTTCATCGGACGAACAAAATAAAAAAACTGGTTCCACTTTCAAAACGTCCACTTCAATCTCTTCATCAAAAAAAGCATCAGCGTTCAAATCAACCGATTTATCTTCATCCGTTAAAAAAAACTCAGACTCACGTTCTTCATATTCTACATTTTCATCGAGCAAAAAAAAGTCCGGTGCAAATGCCGACCAATTTTCCACTTGATTTTGAAAAAAAATTGAAACTAAACCTGAACTTATACTAGCTATAATTGGACAAAAAAAATGCCAAACTACGTCGAGTAAGAGCTCGCCTTTAGTACCAAAAAAAATTTTTACCAAATTTCCTATGGATTTTTCCCATATGTAAAGAAAAAAATGGCGAGCGCTGCCGGCGCAAATATATTCACCATCGCCAGAAAAAAAACATTTCTTCCAGGTAGTTCTGTGGAAGAAATTATTTTAAAAAAAAATAATAAAAAAATTCCTTCATATTTTTACTCACTTGTTTACCAAATCTTGTAACTTTTGTATGGGTTCGGGCTCACCATCTTTCCCCAAAAAAAAAATCTCCTTCGAATCATAAACACGTATAACGCGATCTGAGAAAAAAATTAAAAAGGCACTGAAATTTTTAAAAAAAGTTTATAATAATTCGAAAATGGAAATGATTAAATAATAATTTTTTATATATGCAGTTTAAAAAAAGAATTAGACACACTTACTCTCCTCTACGCGCAAATTCTATACTTTTAACAGCAGTTGCACTTGAAGAGCCCACTATTATACGAAAACAAAAAAAAATATCCAATGTTTCAGCATTTAATACGAGTATTTTTCCTAAAAAAATGCCTGTGTAAATGTGTTTTCCTCGACGATCGAAAGAAGCAAAAAAATTTAAATCTCCCTTCAAAATATAAATTCATTTTAGAGAAGAAAAAAAAGTGGGTATAAAATAAAAAAAAATATTTAATATTACCAACAAAAAAAGGAATCTAGTGGCAAACATTTATGTGTGTCTCCAACTTTTACCAACACAGCCGCGTAACGCATTGGGCAAACGAGAAAACGTTTATCAAAAAAAGGATCAAACTGAACTTTCAGTACGGGTGATGGAAAACGATAAAAAAACTCACAATCACCGCTCAAAACATCCCATATGCAAACATTAAAAAAAATTGAGGCCGATAGTAGCTTAAAAAAAAACAATAAAATTAGAAAAAAATTTTAAGTTTATTTTTTTTAAGTTTAAAGATAGAATAACCAAAAAAATTACCTTATGTCCATTACGCGTCCAACTTAAACTGCATACAAAAAAAACGTGTGCCGAGATAATTTTAGCAATACCTCTTGTTAAAAAAAAAAATACAACGATACGTCCATCATTGCATCCAACCGCCAATAAAAAAAAAAATTTGTTGAAAGCACAGGTAACAGCAAGTGATATGCAATCAAAAAAACCGTCAAATTCCTCTGGATAGTTCTGTCCAAATGATTCTGAAAAAAAATTAATAATATTTTGTAAATTTTGTTAATCTATGCATTATAAAAAAAACCCAATAATTCTAAATTCATATTAATTGGTTATAAATAAAAAAAAAGAATGAATTTTTCGTATGAGTTTATTTCGTTTACCGCCGTGACTGATAACACCAACAATATAACTGATTTATGCCCAATTAAAGCTTAAAAAAATGTTTCGTTATTAATTAGTTTAACTTTTTAATTGATTCATAAAAAAAATTAGTTCATTTGAGTAAAAAATACGTTTTAAAAATTAAAAAAAAAAATCCCAATGACGCCGCATAGTCTTATCAACAAACAACTAAAAAAAAAATGCCAATTCCGATTATAAACGATGTGAAAATATCATGTCAAAAAAATGTTGCAATTTATCGATAATTTTATTATGAAACAAAATGCAAAAAAAATATGCATGAAGTTTATTTAATTCAAATGTTTTACAACAAATATTTGTTTTCATCAAAGTTTTTGCAAGCGTTAAAAAAAGAAATTGAAAAAAAATAGTTAAGAAACTATAGTGCTTAAAAAAGGAAAAAATAGAGATTGAAAATGAATTACATTTTTTAAATTTTATATGAAGTTTGCCGAAATTTTTTTAATATAGGAGACATAACTTCATTTTAAAGGTAACTGAAAAAAAAAAATTTTATTGCAACTTTATTTTATTGAAATATTAAATAAAAAAAAAATAAATTAATTTATTAAAAAAGTTTTATTAAATTATTAAAAAAAAAATTTTCATAACTCGTACGATTTAAATAGCCATGATTTGGAAAAAAAAAATTCAAATATTAAAACAACAACAATAAAATATTTAACCAAAAAAAAAATGAAATCAGGTTTTTATTGATAATTAATTAATTAATTAAAAAAAAAAATCAGCATTCTACTACTACTTTGTAAATGAAAAACTGCAAAAAAAATGATCTTTTTTTTTGTTTAGTGTTTCTTATTGAAAAAAGTAAAAAAAGTAAAACACTGTACTGGTACTTTCTTAACGTACTACATGTAAAAAAAATATTAGAAACATGTTTTACATAGGTCTAGAAGTGTACGAAATATTAAATAAACAAGAATGCCCTGAATGCCACAATAAAACCGAAAAAAAAAATAAAAAGTAACATTTGTATGAATTTTTCTTAAAGTACCATAAAAAAAGTACCAAAACAATGGATATGACGTAATCGTACCAGAAGATAAAAAAAAATTCAAAAAATTATGTTGAATGTTCAGTACGTACCATTTAAAAAAACACTTCAACGCGAACCAGCCAACGAACGGTAAGCTAACATAAAAAAATCGTCATCGGCTTTGGTATCGTCAGCTGTATTAGTAGAATAAAAAAATGTATATATATAACGCAGCGCTGTCAATATAGTACGTCAAAAAAAAAACAACCCTGTCCTTTCTCCTGCGAAAATTGCACATGGCTTAAAAAAAACGCAAGTGCACGACTCCAATTCATGCCAATTTCTTGCATTTCAAGTGTTTATTTTTAATAGATTTTTGTGCGAAAACATATACAAAACGGTAAAGAGTGCAAGTAAGTAAAAATTTCGTGTAAAAAATTGTGGAAAGCTGTAGAAGAAGTGTTTGGAAAATTAGTATTACAAAATCAGTTAAAAAAAGTGTATGTGTTTGTGTAAAAATGTATACGTGTGCGCGCAAAAAAAAAGAATATGAAGAACATGATTGCTTGTGTTTTGTAGTATATTAAAAAAAAGTACGTGTACGTCAGCAATGATTGCTATATGTTTCATGAAAAAAAAACGGTGGAAATATCTACGTACGGAATAAAGTGCGCCTTTCAAAAAAAAAAGTAGGAGCAAGTAAACAGTGTTGCTGTAGTGGAATATAAAAAAATAGTTATATTGAAGAAGTATTAATTCCGTACTAGATGTTTAAAAAAACATGTAAACTTGGGAATAGTACTATATTTGTATTGCAAAAAAAAAAAATTACATGACATATTTGCTGATGAAATGAAATGGTGAAATAAAAAAAAATTTCGTATGTTTATTAACTTAATCGAATTTTTGACACGAAAATGATGCCTGTACAAAATTTTTGCAAGAGTACGTAGCAACTGTAAAAAAAATATAATTGTACGTTGTCTGATTAATACATTGTTCATTCCAAAAAAAATTGCGAATCCGCTATTAAATCCACGAATGAGACAATGTGGTACGATAGGGAGGTCAGCGAGAAAACAGTACTTTATTCCGATGAAAAAAAAAAAGAGTATTCGTGGGTTTTTATGCAAATCTACGTATATAAAGAAAAAAAGTGCATAGAGGCAATATGAATACTAATGCAACAGTGTGATAAAAAAAATCGGAACGTATGAAAACGAAATTTTCTCCTATGTCGTCAAAAAAAAGTAGGAATACGTTGCATGTAAGAAACAATGCGACAGTCGGAAAAAAACTGCTAGTTGGATAGTAGAAAAGAAAGACAATACACATTAAAAAAAATACTGTGGTTGTTGTCCCCCCACTTCTAAAGACTGACCGTAAAAGTGGATGTGATTAAGAGCTTTAGGCAAAAGGTCTGATTGTACCAAAAAAATATTAAAAGAGAAAAATCCTACTATAACATAAGAAATTTGAAAAAAAGCGAGTTTTTTTTTCTGCTTTCGAAATGTGTGCTATAAAAAAAAAAAGTCAATAGAACAAAGTTAACAGGGGAACGGATAGGGGGATAAAAAAAAATGTTAGCAAATTGTAAGAACAAAAATCTAGCATTAAAAAAAAAAAAGACTCAAGGCAAAAATGCAGAAATTAAAAAAAAAAAAAAAAAAAAAAACAACTGCCACGAAGTGAAGGCGAACGTTTACGATGAATAAAAAAAAATTATTCAATTACATTTGTTTAAATAAAAAGTATTTGCAAAAAAAATAAGGAAATGATCAGACGGAAGTAAGTTTTTTGTAGTGAAAGTTTGAAATAAATGAAATAAAAAAGATTGTCGAAAAAAAATAATTAAAAAAAATTTTAAAAATAAAAAAAAATCAGCGAAAGCCCAACCTTGTTCCGTTTCGTTCCACTTGCAAAAACAAAAGTGCAGAAAACACAATACAAAAAAATTTCTCGCTCTCTGCATATTGAAAAGAGCGCGTATTTAAAAAAAAAAAGGGAGAAATGTAAAAAAAGCTAAAGGGAGGAAAACCTTAAAAAAAACAAGGAAAATTTTTTTTGTAGTAAAAGTGAAAAAAATGTGAAAAAAAAAGTGATTTTATGATAAGCCAACTGTTTAGTACGCGAAATATTAGTCATTTAACATATTTGTCACTTTGGAAAAAAATGTACTGACTTACTGTTCATTTTGAGAAGAATTTGTGTTTATGTAAATATATTAATTAAAAAAAATTTTTTTTTTTACAGAGTACCCAACATCAAGTCAGCACTAAAAAAAGATTGTACATAAGGCCACTTTGAAGGAACACAAAATATATACATACATGTTTACACTTCAAATTCCTTACGCAGCAGTTAAATAAAAGTCACAATCTCCACTTACTATTTTGAGCACACGAAAATTTCTATTAAAAATCTACGGTCAACAACACTTGAAATTCAGTGTAAAACAAGCAGCAAGAGCAACCAACTAATTCAGGAAGAGAATTAGGAAGGAACAAATAGAAAAAAAAAGAAAGTAATCAACAAAAACAGTGTAAATAAACAACACAAAAAAAAATGTCTGGAGAGGAAACGTCCGCTGATCGCAATGTCGAAATAAAAAAAATCAAGAAACTCATTAAGAGTTTGGAGATGGCACGCGGGTGAGTGCAACATAAGTAGACTTAAGATGCGTGTACATATGTATATATAAAAAAAAGTAAATTTATGTGAATATGCTGAATAGTTGTAATCATATGAAAAAAAAACAATCAATGTCGAATAGTTTTTTCTCAATTTTTAAAACAAAAAAATGACTCAAAAATAATGATATTTCAATACTTTTTAAACTGCAAAAAAAGAAATTTCGTTTTCATATCTGAATACATATATTTTAAAAGAAATCTATCTGTAAAATAACTAATTTGAACTTGCTAATATTCAGTTTAAAAAAATATAAATAAAATACTCACAGTATACATTGGAGCTACGAGTAAAAAAAAACACCCATGCAACAACAACCCTCTGCATTCTGTGTTCCAAAAAAAAATTTTGTTCGCATTACCAGCATCACAAGCTCAGTGTTGCTTGGCAGCTGTTGTGTGGCTCCCCTATTTTACTTGTACTCCCACTAACAAAAAAAGGCTATGTGTTTTCTATTACTATCTGTGGGTGGTTGATGCAAAAAAACTTACCAATGGGGTGGTTGGTTCACTCTTTGGGGAGAAAGAAAAAAATGTTTTCGACTCTTTTCAACTGAGTAAAATCGTTTAATTTAAAAAAATTGCCCACTTTCTTATACACTACCATAATTTTTTTTTATAAAAAAAAAATGTGTGTGTATTTAAATACACGTATGTATGCTTAAACAAAAAAAATGCAGCACACGATACGCCAAACAATGGTAAAAACAAAACAAAAAAAAAATTATATTTGTGGATAATGCCAAATTCATACAGATGTATAAAAAAAGTATGTACGAGTATATATGTATTTGTTTTGAATTGATTGCAAAAAAAGTAAAATATTTCAGGGACTTATGCTTTAATTACTTTAAAACTTTAACTTAATATGGCGTTATACACTTACTGCATGGATGTATTTACAAAAAAAGATTAATTTTAATATTTAATTTGTGAATAGAAACATCTGTAAAAAAATCTACTCGTTATAGTTTGCGTTATTTTCAGTCTACATATAAAAAAAAATGTACATAGAAAAATATATATATGTATATTATACTGCATAAAAAAATGGTCTTATCTTTAAATGTTAATTTATATATATGTCGTTTAAAAAAATTAAAGTATTCGTATATAAATTTTTCTAGTAAGAATACATTTGTAATTGAAATACTTTTAGTAAAATGAATTAATATACATACATATAAAAAAAATATGTATGCATGTTAGGCCCACTTAGTTACTGCCAATTTGCTTAAGCATATCATCCGCCAGTAAACAAATTTGCTAAATTCCGCCTAAAAAAACTACTCTACAATAAACGACCTTAAATACTTATGAGCTTTTAAAAAAATACACAAGTAAATAGATATGTACCAAAAAGTATATATGTAAAAAAAATTGTAATTACATACATACCTAGTTAGTTGCTGCTTTTTTTAAAAAAACACATTATTTCATATGCGTTATGCGTGATCGAAAAATTTATGCATTATGTAAAAAAGTTATGTATGTATATATGGATTTATTTATAAAAAAAAATAAATACTGCATTTGCATGCAATACGTGTGCAGCATATACAAAAAAATCGAACATTTTTTTTTATTTACTAGAAATTTTTGAATTTTTTAAGCGATTCTATAAATTTCATTGGACTACTTATACGACTTTGATTAAAAAAAGATATGTATGAATGCCCATTTTTTTTAGGGTGTTCAGCAAAAAAAAACCAGTTACCTATCTATGTGGTTATGTTTTTAATTAAAAATAAAAAAAAAGCCCATTAATTCTTAGCTACTCCGCTCTTCTTATTTACAAAAAAATCATTACCGTGAATTTGACAAATTAAAAACGAATGCGAGAAAAAAAACACTATCAACTAATAGTGTAATGAGTAGTTGTTAAAAGGGAAAAAAAAAGCAAATGGAAAAGAAAAAAATGGAGCATTGGTATTTCTAAAAAAATGATTCATCACTTCTCAGCTGGGAGGTTAAAGTTTGGCACAAAAAAATTTTTTCGTTTAATTTTTGTATTTTGTATTGTTTCAAGAGAGCGAAAGGGTGGGAGATGAATTTTTTTGAAAATCATTATTTAAGAAAAAAAAAAAAGGTTCTCGTTTTTTTCTATTTCTATTTTATTAATCGCTTTTATGCAAATATTTTAAAAATTGGCCGTTAGTTTGATTTTTGTAGAAAAAAAAAATTAATTTTTTTGTGTTGTTATTTTTTTCTGTATTGTGAAAAAAATATTTTGTTTTTGTTTGTGTATTTTATTTTTTATATTTTGAAAAAAATTGTGTATTTTATTTTTTATATATTTTTTTTTGTATTTTAAAAAAAACATTTTTTTTTTTTTTTGTATTTTAGATTTTACATTTTATAAAAAAACTTTTTTGTATAAATATTTAATATGTATGTATTATTCTCGTAGTATTATTGTTTTGTAATATATTTTAAATTTGCTAAGCAATATTGAAAAAAAAATACGATTTACAGTCTCATTTATCTTAATTTTCTCAAATAAAAAAAATTTTTTATCGTTTTTTTTAATCCAATTTTTAAATTGATGTTTTATTTTGTATTTCCTTTTAATTAATTTTTATTTGCTATATTTTATTTTATAACTATAATTTTGTCATACATATATATTATTTGAACTTATTTTAAATACAATTTCATTTCATTTTATTTCAAATTAATTCCAATATTTAATTTAATCTAATATTTAATCTAATCGGCCGAAAATTGCTTCAACGGTTACAAAGCGCCAATTATGTATGTATATATATAATTTAATTTATTTCAAAAAAATTTAATTTTATGCATATTGTTTTATTTATTTTTTAATATTATTTTTTATTTTCAATAAATTCATTTTCCTTTTTTTTATTTTTTAGAAAAAAAACTTCACTCAATTTAATTTAATTGTACTTCATTTTATTATTAAAAAAAATTTTAATTGGTTTTTTCGTTTATTTTTATTCAGTTTATTAAAAAAAATTTTTTAATTGAACTTGTTTTATTTTTATTTTTAAATTTAAAAAAAATATGTTTAGCCTTCTATTTTTTTCCTTTCTTATAATTTTAAAATTTTTTTAAATAACTTTTATATGTTATTTTTAAAATACAATTTAAAAAAATTCATTTGTATTTTTTAATTAATTGTTATTTTTTATTTTAAAAAAAATTTTTAATTTATTTATATTTTTTAATTTATTTTTATATTTAAAAAAATATTTATTTTTCAATTTATTTATATTTTTAATCTACTTATAAAAAAAATTAATTTTTTAATGTACTTTTTATTTATTTATTTTTCATTTTTTTTTTTGCAATTTACTTTTAATAGTTTTTAATTAAATTAAATTTGATTTTGATTTTTTTTGTATTTTTAATTATTTTTATTATCTTTTTTTGTCAAATAATTTTTATTTTATTTTGGCTGGTTCATACCGTGTTTTACTCATCTCTTTTGTGCTGTTAACTTTGATTACTCCGTTACTCCATTATTTCTTGTTCTCTTTGAACTCGTTTTCTCAAACTTTGTGTTGCAAAAAAAAAAACAGCTAACTGCCAACAGCAACTAAAAAGCATTTACCAAAGAAAAAAACAACCTCGTCGGTGAACTAACGTTTTCCGCTTTGTGTCGGTTTAAACTGGACTTTGTTGGCTGCGACTGGTGACAGCCAGTAAGCGGAAAAAAATTGTGTTTGCGCATACATATACTATCAGCAGCGCAATTTTAAAAAAACACTTATGCATTTTGATAGCCACATACATATAAATGAGTTAAAAAAAGTAATTTTTATTATTATTATTTTTTGTTACTTCGCAAAGTAAAAAAAAACTGTTAACGAGTTAGAGTTGAAGTTGGTGGATTTGACAAAGCTAAAACTAAAACCCACAAACAACGAGCAAAGCAGTATGCTTGCAAAAAAACAATCAGCCGCTGATTTTTTTCACATTTTTATTGTCATTGAAAAAAATCTGTTCAAGGATTTTGCTTGCTGTCGTTTGACGTTAAAAAAAAAAATTGGCAACATGTCGTTGTCTGCCACATGACCGTGGTTTTTAAAAAAAATTACACTTCCCTCTTCAGTCAACACTTCTGCCCTTTTTTAAAAAAAAGTCTTCAGTCTTTCCGTTTTGCTACTTTTAAAAAGGTGCGCTTGAAAAATTCAGTATGAACTGGATGTGTTGGATTTTAGCGGTGTAAAAAAAGCTTGGCCATATCTTCTGTCGACTTCTCTCACTTGCTCTCAAAAAAATACATTGCTCATACGGCTCTTTTTCTTTGTCTTTGCTCCAAAAAAAAACTGGGTTTCGTATCAACAAACTGGCTAACCAACTGACGTAAAAAAAACCAAACAAGCTTCCATGTGCTTTAACAGCTGTGGTTGTCAAAAAAATGATTTTAATGTTAAATACTGACTTATGTACATATATATTAAAAAAAATGAAATGTGGTAGTGTGATGTTTTATTTTTGCTGATAACAAAAAAATTGGTTTATGGTTGTTTTTTGTTATTTTGTTTAGTTGCTTAAAAAAATTTCTAACTCGGTCCGGCCAATTTGCTCCGTTTTGAAGTTAAAAAAACTCGCAGAAAAATAAAATATATAACAAAATATATAAAAAAAAAAAAAAAAAAATATATATAAAATATATAAAAAATAAAAAAATATAAAAAAAATATATAAAAAATATATAAAAAATAAAAAAATATATAAAAAAAAAAAAAAAAAATAAAAAAATATATAAAAAATAAAAAAATATATAAAAAAAAAATAAAAAATAAAAAAATATATAAAATATAAAAAATAAAAAAATATANTATATAAAAAATAAAAAATATATAAAAAATAAAAAATAAATGAAAAATAAAAAATAAATGAAAAATAAAAAATATATAAAAAATAAAAATTATATAAAAAATATTTAAAAATATAACAAAAAATATAAAAATATATAAAAATAATAAAAAACATAAAAACAAAAATTAAAAAATTTTAAAAATTAAAAAAAAAAATTAAAGAAAATTACAAATTTTCAAAAAAAATATTAAAAACTTTTAAAAAGAATATTAAAAAATTTTAAAAATCGTAATAAAAATTTGAAAAGTTTAAAAAGAAATTTGAAAAATTTAAAAAGAAATTTGAAAAATTTAAAAAGAAATTTAAAAAAAATCTAAAAAAAATTTAGAAATTTTTTTTTTAAATTTCCAAAAAAAAAAAACTTAAACATAATTTAAAAAAAATATAAAAAAAAATTTAATTTAAAAAAAAATTTAAAAATAAAAATTTTAAAAATAAAAATTTTAAAAATAAAAATTTTAAAAATAAAAATATTTAAAAAAAGACATATAAAATGTCATTTTTTTTTATTTTTTTGAATTCAAAATTTTTTTTTAAATATTTCTAAATGTTTAATTTTTTTAACATTTTGAAGTATTTAAAATTTTTTTTGAAATATTTTGTTAATTTTTTTAGTTGTTTTACATTTTTTTTTAATTTTTTTCATTTTTCTTAATTTTAGTTCGATTATTTTAATTTTTTATTTAAATTCCAATTAAACAACAAAAAAATTAATTAGATCTAAAAAATATTTAAAATATAAAAAATTTAAAATAAATAAACAAAAAATATTAAGCGAGAAGTTAAACTTAATAGCAATGAGAAAAACTAACTTATTTATTTGAGAAATCAAAAAGATTTAATGCTTTTCAAAAATATGCTCCTTCTATTTATCGTACGAATTTTTAAGAAACAACTTTTATATGATATAAAATTAAATTTCCAATTAACTTACAATTTTCGCTTGTTTTATTTCAGTAATGGCACAAGCATGATTTCATTAATCATACCGCCAAAGGATCAAATCTCACGTGTTAGCAAAATGTTAGCCGATGAATTCGGCACAGCGTCCAACATCAAGTCACGTGTCAATCGTTTGTCTGTCTTGGGCGCTATTACATCGGTACAACATAGGCTTAAATTATACACCAAAGGTAAGTATTTTTTGATAAATAAATAATAGAATTTTTTTTTTGAAATAAATTTTCTTAACCAATAAATTGCAGTGCCTCCAAATGGTCTGGTCATCTACTGCGGCACCATTGTCACAGAAGAGGGTAAAGAGAAGAAGGTTAATATTGATTTTGAACCCTTCAAACCGATCAATACATCATTATATTTATGCGATAATAAGTTCCACACTGAAGCGTTGACCGCTTTATTGGCCGATGATAATAAATTCGGTTTCATTGTGATGGATGGTAATGGTGCACTCTTTGGTACATTGCAAGGTAATACACGTGAGGTATTGCATAAATTCACTGTCGATCTGCCGAAGAAGCACGGGCGTGGTGGTCAATCAGCGTTGCGTTTTGCCCGTTTACGTATGGAGAAACGTCACAATTATGTGCGTAAAGTTGCTGAAGTTGCTACACAATTGTTCATTACAAATGATAAGCCCAATATTGCGGGCTTAATTTTGGCTGGTAGTGCGGATTTTAAGACCGAATTGAGTCAATCTGATATGTTTGATCCTGTGAGTATTTGATTGTCTTGATGGCATTACTGTAATTACTGATTTCTTTGTTTTCTTTTTTATTCAAACCTGCGTAGAGACTGCAATCCAAGGTTATTAAGCTGGTGGATGTCTCTTATGGCGGTGAGAATGGTTTTAATCAAGCGATAGAACTGGCGGCCGAGTCATTGCAGAATGTTAAATTTATACAAGAGAAGAAACTCATTGGACGTTACTTTGATGAAATTTCTCAGGTAAGATTTTTAGCGTTAGTAAATGCTTGCCTAGTGTTTGAAAATTAAATTTATACTTTTGAAAATTTGCTAAAAAATATATTTTGCAATTAATCTATTTTCTAGGATACTGGCAAATATTGTTTTGGTGTTGAGGATACCTTGCGCGCCTTGGAATTGGGTTCCGTTGAGACATTAATCTGTTGGGAAAATTTAGATATACAACGATATGTATTGAAGAATCATGCGAACTCCACGTCGAACACAGTATTGCACTTGACGCCCGAACAAGAGAAGGACAAGTCACACTTTACTGACAAGGAAGTGAGTTAAAGCTTTCGAAAGTGCCACAAACAAAATTGTTATAACATTTAAATGAAATTTCTTTTACAGAGTGGTGTTGAAATGGAATTAATTGAGTCTCAACCGCTGCTCGAATGGCTGGCGAACAATTATAAAATGTTCGGTGCTACACTTGAGATTATTACGGATAAATCTCAGGAGGGTAGTCAGTTTGTGCGAGGTTTTGGTGGCATTGGTGGTAAGTTTCAGGCGGCTTTTCGTAAATGTAGTTGGTTTTTATTTATCAATTTTTTATTTTGCAATAAGCAGATTTCATAGAAATTAATTACTGCAAATGTAAAATTTTGAGAAAAATGTAATTTTTTCTGCCCACAAAACAAAGTGGAATAAATTTTTACTTTTGAAAATTAAAAAAAAAAAAAATATTTAATATGTTAAATGCAAATTTTTAAGTTTTTAAAGCACGAATTTGCTAAAAATTGCTTGAGTTACATTTTTGTTTTTAGTTTCTATGAAATCAGCGCTTATAATTTAAGGCTTTGTTTAAATTATAATATGCTCTAATATTAAGAAATGTTTGGCTAAATGACAAAATTTCTCTTTCTCTCTTTTTTTATTCCTTATCGCTGCTTATGTAAATGGCTAAAAAAAATGAAATCCATTCAATTTGTAAATTGTGTTTTGGCGAAAATATACACAATTATCTTCCTATCAACAAACAATGTTCCTTTTTGTCCAAATAAAAATTTTTCCTCTATTTTATTTGGTCGACTATATTTTTGTATACGCTATTTTGTGTGCGCATTCTTTCCAATATCCTTTTTTACACATGATCAAATTGCGTTTATTTCTTTATTTAATTTTTTTTTAAATTTTTTATTGTGCACTTTTGTGTAAAACTAATAGGTATTTTACGTTATAAAGTAGACTTTCAATCACTACAGGCTGATGAACCCTTGGAGGATGTTGATCTTGATGACTATTAAATGATTCGCACCTCCATTTCGTTTCAAATCTATCGTAACTCTCTCACGTTGCTGCAATTTATATATAAATATTAATTAACAATATATATACATATATATATATTTAATTATTTCGCAACATACACTGCTCGAAAAAGAGAAGGAAATAAAGAAATAAATAAATAGTGTAGTGAGATCATACATATTATGTGTAGCAGGTTTTTTCTTGACTTTTCACATACAAACTAATTTTAATTAATTAACTGTTAAGAAACTTTATGCTAACATCATCATCAAAACAGTTGAAGAGTAATTTTGAATTTGAAACATATTTTTGATTTGCGCTCATGCAAATACCGGTTTGCAAACTTTCTTAGTGCACACACATTTTGTTCGACAATATTAAATTTTCAACTCTTAATATGTACTAAATTTTAAAAATTTATTGAACAAGAAATATTTGAAAATAGAAATTCACTTTTACAATTGGCTTGCAGTAAAAATTTTCTAAAACAAAAGAAAAAAAAAATACACTAAAAAGGCAACGATTTCGTAAGCAGCCTTGAAAGGTTTAATTATTGAACTAAACAATAATAATAATTATATTTATATGATATAAAAAAATACACGTAAAAGAGTAATAGTTAATGGGAGCCATACGTTCAAATTCAATTTAAATTAATAAAAACAACAACAACAACATTTAATAAATTAAAAATAATACAACAGAGAGTAAAAAATGTAATTTATAAAAGCAAAAAAATACCTATACTACCAGCGTAAATAATATTGAAATATAAAACAAACAAAAATAAAATCATACGTACATATATAAACCATATATATACACAAATATTTCAACATGGATAAATAAAAAGAATGAATTAACAAAACAAATACGTAGAAACCATTTGGCACAATTGGAAAATTGCGCAGTATTTTTTTTTTTCTAACATAAACTGCATAAAAAGAGTATTAAATGCAGCGTAAAAATCTGAAAATTCAACAAAAAAACTCTACTTTTTAGAAAAGTAAATCTTTCTGAAACCACTAAGTGTTCTGACGAAACTCAAAAGACAGGTTTTCCTCACAACTTCTGCAATAATGTCACTTCAGTTCTTAGAGGAAAATAGAAAAATCAACAGAAACTGTCCATGCTTTACTTTTATTTTAGTGCAGCAAGCTCTTTACACACTAGATACACTTTAAATGCAACGAGGTTTTTTTTCCTTAAATTCAACGTATAAGCTTTCTATTTTTTATAATAATTTTTTTTTTTAAATAAAACTTTTTTTTTAATATAATTTTTTTTGTTATTTATGACCCCCACCTTTTATTACCTTATATGACCACACGTTATTCCTATTAATTTATATTTCCCGTGGCTTATTGTCCTACCATATCATTGTAAGCGTAAAAAAGAACTTTAGCCAGTACGCTAGTTTAATATGCTAAGGCAACCAAAAAATGCATATAAATGTATGTATGTACAAGTCTTAGAGGTAAATATTATTGGGTAAAACATTATTCTTGCATTTGATTTCACATCATCATTATTTGTAGGTTTGAAATTTTAATAGAAATATTTTTTTTATAATTTTTGATTTTTAAGTAAAATTGGGTAGACTTTTATTGTCTGTGTGTTATCTCAGCTCCACAGCTAATTATTTGTAAATGTATGCATTATTTGTTTGTGGACTGTGTTGTTGCAGTGAAATCACAATATAATAGGAAAATACATATGTATATAAAAAAATATTTATTTTATTGTGTTATTAAAAATTATTGAATGCAAAATAAAAGGAAGAGATTTTAAAATACAAAAATTAATCAAAATATAAATAAAAATTATTAAACAAATAAAAATAATAAAAAAAAAAATAAAAATAATAAAAAAAAAAATAAAAATAATAAAAAA